ACTCCATAAAACTGGAAAATCTAAAAGAAATGGACAATTTTCTGGATAGGTACCACATACCAAAATTAAATCAAGATCAGCTGAACAATTTAAATAGACCTATAAACCCTAAGAAAATAGAAGCAGTCATCAAAAGTCTTCCAACCAAAAAAAGCCCAAGGTCATATGGTTTAAATGTAGAATTCTACCAGAACTTCGAAGAAGAGCTAATACCTATACTCCTCAAATTGTTGCACACAATAGAAAAACAGAAGTAACATTGTCAAGCACTTTTTTTTAAAGATTTATTTATTTATTAAGCTTACAATGTACTGCTGGCAAGGAAGGCACTAGGTCTCATTACATTACAGATGGCTGTGAGCCACCATGTGGTTGCTGGAAGTTGAACTCAGGACCTCTGGAAGAGCAGCCAGTGCTCTTACCCTCTGAGCCATCTCTCCAGCCCTGCCAAACACTTTTTATGAGACTACAGTTACCCTGATAACCAAACCATACAAAGATTCAAGAAACAAAATTACAGACCTCATGAACACTGATGCAAAAATACTCAAAGTACTGGCAAACTGAATCCAAGAACACATCATAAAACAAAAATCATCCACCATGGTCAAGTAGGCTTCATCCCAGAGAAGCAGGGATGGTTCAACACACAAAAATCTATCAATGCAATCTGCCATATAAATCAACTGAAAGAAAAAAATCCATATGATCATCTCATTAGGTGCTGGAAAAACATCTGATATGTTCTAACACCCTTTCATGATAAAGGTCTTGGAGAGATCAGGGATACAAGGAACATACCTAAACGTAATAAAAGCAACATACAGGAAGCTGACAGCCACCATTGAATCAAACTAAATGGAGAGAAACCACCATTGCCTGGCTTCATAAATTTTCTTAAGAAAAACTGTGTATTTTAGGAAAAGAAACATTTTGAGATTCCTGTTGACTAAAATGGCATAATTTCCTATAGAATTAGCTCTATGGTTTGAATGCTTATCCCTTGCAAAAGCCATGTTCAAATTTAGTTACTGCTAAACAACAATAATAAAACTTAAGAGATGAGTGGGCTCTGAGGGGGAAGCCTTTCTGAGTGGGACGCTGTGACCACAGGTAAGTAAGTCTGCCTGTCTCCTGCTCTCACAAGCTCTCTGGCTTCCTGCCAGGTGAGAATGCAGGAAACAGGCCCTTGCCTATTGAACTTCCCAGCTCTAGAGCAGTGACATAATACATTCCTGCTCATTACAAATTATCTAGTCTCCAGCATTCCGCTATAGTGGGGAAAATAGGCTAGTCAGCCAGCACTCACTTGGACTATTTTCATTTCTCGCTGTGAATATAAACTTGAAGTAGATAACTTTCCAGTTCACATGAAATTAAACATACAGACAAGAGAAGTCCATATGCATGAGAAATTTCCAAAACTAAATACTTAAGATCCATTAAGATGCTGAGGTTTAAAAAGTGGCAGCAGTTACTATCAACATGAAACAGAATAAATAGTGTGGGTGATCAGCTAAGTAACTTCTGCAGCATGCTCTAGGCTCAGCCCTGATCAGTTAGAAATCTCTGCACAGGCTTTCTTCTAACAACCTGGCCCCATCCTGCTTTCCCAGCATCCCCCCACCCCGAGAACTATGTACAAAGCAGGTATATGTAAACTCTTGCGCACCAGAAATGACTTCCAGCCTATGTGGGGCAGCCTACACACCCAAAGTACTTAAGTATTAATGATGCAAAGAATCACACAGAGGACTACAGGCAATAACAAGAGAGCTGCGACAAAACCCATCTAGAGCTTCTTCACAAGACACCCAGTTACCTGCAAAACCACCTACTTCAGAAAAATCTAGTCAAAAAGACCCAAAAATTAAAAAGAAAAAAAGACTTAAATACTTTCACGGAATTTAAAAATTGCACAGATTATCTGGAAAGATATAAACAATAGAGGATATAAGCCGGAGTACTAATGAGGACATTTGCTTCCAAAATGTGGACCAGAACCTCTGTAATCCAGCTCCACGTTCATACTGGGATGGGTCAAACAGATTCAACTGATCCCCAGAAGTAAATCCAAATCCAAGATTTAAAGCTGTTTGATGTCACTAATATTCTGTGAAAATTTCAAGTGTGTCTCTGAGGCTTCTTGCGTACTGTGGGAGACAGCACATTGTGATCGAGACGGCACTGGCAGGGCAGGAAATAACATTATCAAAGCACTGCAGCACTAATGGCCCACCTAAAGGCACTTTCAGTCTCCTTTGTGCTGCTCTGCACTTCCTTCAAACAGCTGCCAAGCCGGTGAGTTTCCAGGCTCTGCAGCAGGAAGAGCTAATGAAGGCTGCCAACGACTCACACTCGGATCACACAGTTCTGCTCCCTGCTTAGGAGGCCATCTCACGCTAAAGGCAGTTTTGTTCTGGAGAAAGTCAATCACCGAGTTTATTTCCCCTTTAGTACCTCTCGGAAATGCTTAGGGAACAATAAATTAGACACGTTAGGCCCTCTGCATTTTATAACAGTGACCTTTAAGGTAATAATCCCATGCTGTCAGTTAGCCTTTATGTAATAATGATTTTATCCAAACTGTCATCATACAAATAAAATGATTTTGACTACACATAGACAAGTGGTATAAAGTAGCTATTGGAATGCACTTGTCACATGCACTATCTAATTTAGACCGCATGGGCCACTCTCTGAAACATTACTATTAGTTCATTTTTGTAAAAGAGAAAACTAAACTCAGGGATATAAAGTGGTTTCTCACCCTACTACCAAGTGGTGGAGACAGGATTTAAGATTAGGTTTTTTTTTTTTTTTCCTCAAAATCTCTTAAAATATACATTCACTTACAGAATTTTGCCCTGTCTTTTTTTCAAGAAAGAGCCTTAGTATAGAAAGCAGCTCTGGCTGGCCTGGAACCCGGGATGCTCCTGTCTCAGCTCAGAGTACTGGTATTGCAGGTATGCACCCAGCTTTGGAAAGTGTCTCATTTCTAAACACTTAGGAGGGACCACACCCTTTCACACACACAGACTAAGGAAGTCATTTATATGTTAATGCTCGACACTGACCTGAGTTTTCCCCATTCTGTCCCCAGTTCCCAAGGAATCTTTCTACTCTTAGCTTCTTACTCTCTTCTGAAAGTGCTCATTAGGGAAGATAGGGTAGCTATGAACATATGCAAGTGTGCTCGTTACAATTTAACTCATAATGCGAAGAGCATACCGATAAAATATACAGGACAACATCATGTATCTAACTACAAAGCAAGGTTATCTCACACAGATCCAAGACAAAACTAAATATGTAAACAGTCTTTGATTTTTGTTTTTTATATAGAATAGTAAAAACTTTCTTGACCCATTCTAAGTTGTAAGATTCCAAAAGAACTTACTATTTATGTTGTGAAGAATGGAAGGGGACAGAAGTTATGACTAAATTTCAGATCTGCCATAATGAAGAGTCAGTCACATAAATACAGCGACAGAAGACTGAAGTGAAAAATAAGAAAAGCAAGCTTGTCCCAGTGGCTACTTGTGTGTCCCTGTGCTGGCACAGGATTGGGCTGCAGTTTGGCGCCATCTGGTGGTAACTGTCTATCACAGTGTTAATATCTAGGGATCAACTTAACACCCAGTGGTTGAACGAAGCACCTATGTCCAATCCTAAATTTTCTGGTTTGGTGTTATGACAGTTAATTTTAATTGCCAACTCGACAACGCCTAGAATCACTTGGGAAAAGTCTCCATGAGGGGTTGTCCAGATCAGGTTGGACAGTGTGGGGTTGTCCTGATTGCCTTCACTGATGTGGGAAACCCAGCAGAAAGGGAGGCAGGTTTCTTGGTTTAGGGCCCTGTACTATTTAGTGGAGGAAGAAGGCTGAGCACTAAGCAGGCAGAAGTTTATTCTCTTCAGGCTCTCAACTCTGGATGTGAGCACTTGCCTATGGTCCTTCCTTTGAGTTCCCAATACGATGGGTGTGTGAGCAGAAAGGAAGCTTGAAATGGATGGTACCCATTGTGAACCTGCGTCAAGAATAGGACTGGGGAGAAGCAAGGCTGCTTCCAGCTTTCCTGCCTCGAGAAATGGTTGTTGCCCATTTCCCGACACAACTCCGCCATCCTACCTACACATGGAGAGGGAGTTTACACATCTAAACTTATGCTATGATGGGATGTATTTTAAAGGATTCTCTTTGTTCTTGTTTTGTTTTTAAGATGGACAACTGAAAAACTGGGAAACGGTCACAATGATTACACAGCAAAGTATAAGCGGTAATGTGGGTATCAGTGGTTAAATAATATATAGAGATATACATATTACTATTCGAGCTTTTACAAGTATCTGAGATTCCCCACTGTATGCTGTGAATATGTTTTATTATCATTGGTTACTAGAGAAGCTACTTAGGCCTGTGGAAGGGCAGAATAGAGCAAGGTGGGAAACTAAATTGAATGCTGGGGAAAAGAAGATAGAGTCAGACAGACACCATGTAGCCACTGAAGGAGACAGATACCAGAACCTTACCTGGCAAGCCACAGCCTTGTGCTAATATACAGAATAATGGAAATGAGTTAAGATCTAAGAGCTAGCTAGCAATATGCTTAAGTGATTGGCTGAGCAGTGTTATAATTAATACAGTTTCTGTATGATTATTTCAGATCTGGGCAGCTAGGAAATGAACAAGCAGCCGCTATCTACAAGTATCCAAGAGAAATGGTTGGTAAAACTATTGCTATCTTAGTACCTTCTAAATTTCCTCATATTCTTGTCTTCAGTCTGAACTGAGGAAACAGGAAAGAGATATATTACCAGAGTAAAAAGACCTACAGTATGATAAGTGCTGTTGTAATTAGCTATCAAATTTATAATTTTAACATTCTCATTCATATTTACAACTATTAAAAAATTCATCTCAGAAATGGCATTTAATTTCAGTAAAATTCTTAGGATCGTCAAAGACAAGTATAACTTTCTCAATCGCTCTTCTTTACCTGTTTTCTCGTTCATACATTTCCCTAGAGGCATTTCGAAGCTGCTCAATTTCTAGATTAGTTTTCAATCTGATTTGTTCCAGTTCATCATGTAGTTTATTTTCATATTCTGTTTTATAATGGTCTCTGCAAAGACAAAATAAATAGTCATGGTTTTCTTTCATGAAAAAAAATAAACCATTGTTTTTTAGGTAATATTTTAATCTTATATGAAATATGTTTAGAAAACTTGACCATTTTAGAAGGGCTTTAGAGTCTCTAAAAGCACTGTTCCAAACTAGTACCAGACTTGTACCACATCACTGCTGTTCCACTACAGACACAGTAACCATGTTGGGTGATCCCCTTCCGTGCCCTTTCTAATGCACAGGCTGAGGCCGGAAGGCTGATGTACTCAGATGCTGCATGTTCAGACACAAAGAATAAAATGTAATACCAAGATCATCCCGACTTTATAAAACACTTCCTTCTCAGCACAGCAGACAGAGTCACATAAGAATTGTTCTTTAGAGTCAAAGTATGGAAAAGGAACAACTCTTGCCTGGATGACACGTATTTCTCGTACATATCTTCTCTAGCCTTCTTGCTCTCCTCCAGCTGCACCTGCAGCCTCTCCAGGCGATCTTCCTCGTGCGCACAGCGTACGCTGAGTTCCATGTTTTGGCGATTGAGGTACTCTTTATCCTTCTGCAGGAGGGTGACTGTCTGTTGCAAGGTGGTTACCTATAGAAATTCAGAGACATGTCCAGAGCGAGCTGTCACTTCTCAAGGTGGACTTTCCCTGTGTGTATCACATAAAAATTCTCTTTAAAAAGTGATAAACTTGTTTATGCAAAATTGCCTACAATGGTATAGTATTTGTGTTTTAATAAATAAAGCTTGCCTGAAGATCAGAATGCAAAGCAGCCACACCAGTCAACCATACAGGTCAGGCAGTGGTTACACACACCTTTAATCCCAGCAGCCACACTAGTTAGCCATACAGTTTAGATGGTGATGCACACCTTTAATCCCAACACTAGAGAGGAATATTAAGACAGGAGGAGACAGGTCTCAGTCAGTCTCAGTCTGAGTACTCTTGGAGGCAGGAAGTAGAGGTAAGAGCCAGTAGCTGGCTGCTTTGCTTTCCTGATCTTAAGCTTGAACCCCAATATCCGTCTCTGGGTTTTTATTATTCATGCTATAATTGCCTGCTAAGTCTCTCTCTCTCTCTCTCTCTCTCTCTCTCTCTCTCTCTCTCTCTCTCTCTCTCTCTCTCT